GTGCGGGGCGCCACGTTGATGTCCACCTTGAGGTAGCCGCCGGCCGCCTCAGCGCCGTCCAGCTCAGCTGCCTTGGCCTTGGCCGCGGCGTCCCCAAACTCAATGTAGGCGAAGCCCTTGAGCTCCCCGGTGTCGCGGTCGCTGGGCAGGCGCACGCGCGCGATCTCGCCGCACGAGCCGAACGTCTCCTCGAGCGCCGCGCGCACCGCGTCCTCGCCCTCAGACGTGTCGAAGCCCTTGACAAACACGGTTGTGCCGTCCTCCGCGCCCTCGCCGCCAAAGCTCTTGCGCTGCTGGCCGCCGCGGCCGACCGACACGTCGACCTTGATGGCGCGGCCGCCATAGTCCTGGCCGTTGTATTCGGCCTGCGCCTTGGCGGCGGCCTCGGGGGTGGAGAACTCGATGTGGCAGAAGCCGCGTGCGCGGCCGGTCTCGGCGTCGGTGGCTGTGGGGTTGGTTGCAGAGGGTTGCAAACGCGCAGGGACAGGAGGGCACGGTCAGAACAAAGTGGCGTGGTGGCAGCGATTGTGCTTTTTGGGGGGATGAGGGTGCATGTGATCAAGGTGGGCGATATTGAGCCCCACCGCGGCTAGTGGCTGTTTTGAGGCTTGCACCCTGAGAACCCAAACATTTGGGATTGTTTGTGTTTATGTGCACCATCCTCACTCAACGCCTGTACTACCGCGCTTGCCCGTGCTGGTGGAGGGTGGAGACCCGCTTCCAGGGGTCACGGCCCTGAATATGCTTGTGCGACCCCCCTCCCCGCCAACCCCGTCGTGCGTGCTGCAGGCGCCCCCTCACCTATGCGGACGCTGTTGATCTCGCCGCACTCTGCGAAAAACTCCCGCAGCTCCTCCTCGGTCGCGCTCCACGGCAGGTTGCCCACAAACACGGTGGCGGACGCAGGCTCGGCGTCGCCGCCGCCGTTGACCTCCACGCGCTGCTTCTTGGCAGCGGGCTCCTCCTGCTTGGCAGGCACGGGTTTTCGACGCGACAGCGGTGAGCTGGATTGTGGGCTCCCGCTTGCTGCAGCCCAAGCCATCGTGATTCAGTTCCTGCTCTCAAGAAGTGCACGCTGCAGGCTACACAACAAGACTGACTGTACAAGTAGCCAAGCCCCCTGCAAGGCGGGCACAGCAAAGAGCGGAAGACAGCATCAAAAGTTCACGTTCCCCCACCTTGGCCGCGGCGGGCTTCTCCTTGCGCTTGGGTGCCTCCTCCTTCTCTTCCTGTGTAGTACAACAAAGCACGTCAAGAGTGGGTGAGAAGTATGCACAGATTGCGTAGGTAGAAGTACACACAACCTGCAAGCTATACAGGGGGTGCGTTGCAGCCCCAACAAACATGTAGAGCACATGTTGCTTCTAAAGCACAGCGCCAAACGAAGTCTTGTCTTGCCGGGCCCAAGGTCACTGGCCCACACACGACAGACTCACAACCCTCCTGACATGGCCTCATTGGCCCCACCCCCTAAGCAGCCCTCTCTCCCTTTGACAGCCCCGCCCACCTCCTCCTCGTCACTGTCCTCGTCGCTGTCCTCCTCGTCGTCGCTGCTGTCCTCGTCGTCGCTGCTCTCTGCTTTCTTGGCAGCGGCCGGCGCGGCAGCGCCCTTCTTAGCGGCGGGCGCCTCCTCCTCCTCGCTGCTGTCGCTGTCGTCCTCATCGTCATCGCTGTCCTCGTCGGACGACTCAGCAGCCTTCAAAAGGGGCGTCAGTGGCGACGAGGGTCGTCAGATTTAAGGAGGGCGGCGGGCTGAAGGCATTCTGCACGTGCAAAAAAGACAATCAGAACACCACCAGCATGCCTGTGCACATGGAAACTTGCTGTGACTTCAACAGACAGCAGCTCGACAGCAGGGCTCCCCATGCTCGAGCATGTGATGCTGTAGAGTGTGTGCGCTTGCAGGTGCAGCCGCCGCGCCACAGCCGCCGGCTCCTACCTTCGTCTTGGCGGCCCCGTTGGCAGCAGCGGCGGCTGGCTTCTTCTTGGGGGCCTCCTCCTCCTCAGACGAGTCGTCGCTCTGTGTTGGCGAGGTAGGCGTTGGCGATCAAGCAGCTTGAGGATTTGGATCAGAGGAACGGGCCTAGGAAGGCGCGCACGCCGCTGGTGCAAGCCGTCATCAAGCCGCCGGCAGCAAACGCAGGCGCTCAGGCGCGCGGGAAGCGACTCAGCGCGGTGCAGGCGCGTGTATATAGCTTATTGGCTCGCAACACGTTCGCGAATAGCCCGGGCACCCTCTCCTTTGCCGTTGCCGGGCGTCTCACAACCCCCTCACCTCGCTGCTGTCATCTGAGTCGCTGTCGTCGCTTGCCTCCTTCTGAGGAGCGGCCTACAAGCGACATATGAGCGAGGGAGCGTAAGCTGCATGTTCTGGCGGCCCAGATCGACTTTGCAGTCGGTGGACCCTGCACGGCCCACCTTCATGGGCACGTCCTCGTCGGAAGAGTCATCCTCCTCGCTGCTCTCCTCTGACTCGCTAGCAGCGGGCTTGGGGGCCGCCTGCGGAGCATGGTGGCGGAACAAGGTGGCGGGTGAGGCACTCCTGGCGGCCAGGGCTCCTCGCCTGCACTACGCCGGCGCGTTCGATATCTCACCTTGCGTGCAGTCTCCTTCTTGACGGCGCCCTGCGTCACCTTGATGTTCTCCTTGCCGGCCTTGGTGGCGGGCTTCGTCTTGGTCTTGGCCATGGTGCCGGTGTATGTAGGTATATGAGTGGGGTGGAAAGTTTTACACCACTCGAACAAAGGGACGCGGAAAGGAAGATGGCTACCGACGCAGAAATATTTACCCAGCGGAGCAAAGTGCCTCGAGAGCAGTGTGGGGCAGCCCGGAAGCCATGAAGGGTCAACATGAGCTTGTCCCGTTCAAAACACATCATCATCATCCCAAAATCATGGCTGCCCTGTCTCGCTGCAACTCGTTGAGGAGCCTCGACAGGTGTGGGGGGCTGCCACAAGGGGGCGCTGAGGGGGCGAAAGGATCGCTGAGTAGGGCCTAAAACATAAAAATTTTTCTCCGACGCATTCACGACTGCATTCTCAGGCGTGGTGCTTCTGCCGGAGCGCGACCGCTGCCATCGCGCCCACTGCTACGGCGTGAGGTGCGCGTGCTGCGCGGCGCTTTGCGCTGCTCCGTGCATAGATGTGACGTGCTGCTGCGGGGAGCGGCCGCCAATGTTGTGCATTTAGCTCGCGGTTCGAGCTGCACGCAAGCAAATTGACTGGTGGGTGTCACATCTGCAGGTGACAGCCCAGCGCGCCAGAGATGTCATCCGAACCCGCGTTGCAGCGGATGAAGCGGCGGTGAGCTGCGGGTACTGGTTGTCATCCAGTTGCTTGGCAGGGCAGCTGCCTCCGATCAGCGGAGTTGGGCTGCAGGTCCATCCCAGGGAGGGGGGCGAGCATGGCTCAGCCCGTCGGGGAGGGGGCAGAGCGTCTTGGCGCCTAGGCCCGTTGGCGTACGCGTCCCACCGCCCGCAGGCCGCACCTGAGCCCAGCGGGTTCGTTATGGCGGAGGCTGACTACGACGATGAGATGAGCGCGGCAGATCTCAAGGTGCGCTCGTGGTCAGCGCACTTGAATCGGCCGCAGTGGTCGGGGCAGGGGTGCGGCCTCCGCGACCACCTGCATCTCGCACCCTGCACCAAGAGACCGCATGAACACGCCCTCATACACATGGTTGCACACACACGGCTGCACGCTTTCACTCGGCGCCAGGCGGCGCTGCTGGACTCCCTGTTTGGCACGGAGCGCGGCCTTGCGGCGCGCAGCGAGGTGCGGGCGGAGATCAACGAGCTCATCACCCAGCTGGAGGCCAAGAACCCCACGCCTTCGCCCACCGAGGTGCGATGCGCACACTGCACACCTGTCAGGGTTCCGGAGCTGCTTCGTTGCAGTGCGGCTTGATATCGCACATCGACAAAGGCATGCAGCGGCCCTGCGATGGCTCGGCCAGGAGACGCTCATGCGGTCGTTCAGACCTCACAAAGTTTTTGCACGCCCCTGGCTGGCCCCTCTGCGCAGATATTGTCTGCCCTCAACGGCGAGTGGAAGCTGGTGTACACCAGTAACAGCGAGCTGCTGGCCATCCTGGCTCTCAGCAAGCTGCCGTTTGTGACGATCGGTGACATCACGCAGCGCGTTGACGTCCTCAACAACACCGTCGAGAACAAGGTATGGGGGGCGCCCGTGCCGCGGGGTGCCGGTGAGGCACGGCTGCAACAGAGGTCGTCGTTCTGCCCCACCGCGCATCAGCTGCGGCGTTCGCCAGATGCCAGCAGCGCGAGAGAGGGTATACGGCACGCCCCTGACAAGGTGTGCTGCCGTGGCTGCGCCCTGACGGTGCGGCGCCCCGCCACATCCTGCCCAACCATCCACAACCTGAAGGCCCAGATCAGCGTGCCGCTGTCACGCACCGCCGTCAGCACGACGGCAAGCTTTGAAGTGCGCAGCCCCAAGCGCCTCGCCATCCGCTTCGAGCGCGGCGCAATCGCGACCCCGCAGCTGCTGTCCGACCTCAGCATCCCCGACTCGATCAGCGTGCTGGGGCAGAGCGTCGACCTGACCGCGGTGCGCGGCCTGCTGCAGCCCGTGGAGAGCGGCCTGAGCGGGCTCATCAGCAGCGTCGGCAGCCTGATCAGCCAGCAGCCAGACCTGTCGTTCCCGCTGCCGGGCGCGGCCGGGGAGCGTGGGGAGACGTGGCTGCTGACGACGTACCTGGACGATGACACACGCATCACCAGGTGGCTGGCGCGTGGGCGTGGATGCTGCGTGCATGCGTGTGCGTGCGCACGCTTGCGTGTGTGGGGATGCTGCTTGTATGCATATGTGCACGTGTGTGTGTGTGTGTGAGTGTGTGTGAGTGTGTGTGTGTGTGTTTGGTGGGGGTTGGTTGTGCGTGCACATGTGCGTGCGCACATGCGCATGTGTGTGTGTGGACGTTTGTGCGTTTGCGTGTGTGCGCGCGCACGTGCCCGTCAGTTTTTTACTTGTGAGTGCATGACAATGCTGTGCACATGCGCACCTGCCGGGGGTGGCGTATGTGTGAGACACGCTGCTCATTTGACCTGGTGTATTGACAACATGCACTCTGCATGCTTGCGCTTCCCTACTGTTTGCAAACCCAGGGGCGATGGCGGCTCTGTGTTCATCCTTGTCAAGGAGGTGGGGGGCTCTTGTGGCATTGGTGGCCGGCCCCACCTACTATGCATTGGCATGCTCCCCGCATTGTGTGGCCCAATGATAGAGGCCTGGTGACAGCGCAGGGTTGTCGTGCGAGCTTTTTTTCGCACACCTACGTGGCTAACAACAACATCATCCCAACTGCAGGTTTCAATTGCAACCCCCAGCGAGATCATTGAGCCACCAAGCAGCAGTGCGCCGATTGCGGAGACGCCTGCCGGGTACATCTAGGGGGCCGCAGAGAATATCTGCGCTGAGAGTGCCGAGAGTGAGAGACAACAGCCCGCGCTACCTGGGCATTTGCAATTGCAGAGGCCGCCAATGGCCGCTGGTTGCGTCTGCACGTGCCGTGTGAATTCCCAGCGGTGCCTGCGTTTCATGGGCGTGTGGCTTTGCGTTTGCTTGGTCCCAATTGATGTAAGGTATTGTTTCCTGACTTGAGTTCGTGTGTGCAGGCGGTTGAGCTGGTGAAGAACACGGCCGCTCAGGATGCCGGTTGCGCAAGGGAGTGCACCATTCCACAGACGCAAACTGTGCCACGCCAGTTGGCGTGAAGCTGCCAGGTGCTCTTGCCCCTTTCGTCGCGTCTCTGCTTGTCCGTGACGAAGGCCTAGTTGTCGCATGCATCTGGTTTTGTTTGCAGTCAAACTCGCTCGATCCACTGCCACAGCCCGCGCCAACTCCTCCCTGACCGAGCATCATCAGCGATCTAGCGCAGCGAGGCGACACGTGATCAAAACGATACGATGAGCCACAAGCCCGATGACGAGTGAGTGCGAGTCTTGGGCAGGCCGCTGGCGGGATCGCATGTGCCACTGGCGTGGCTGGTCAGGAGACCTTGGGCGCGCATGGGCGCAGTGGAATACTCTTTGCAGTATCATGGTGATGGCTGCAGACTGCGGACAGCTAGCCCAGGGCCGCAGGAGGACAGGCTCGCAGCAGCGATGGGGCGCGCTGCACCGCGCGGCAGGGGACCCCGCCTGGGCGCAGCGCGTGAATGGATGGGGGTTGACCTAGCTGCAGACGCGTTTTCTTCAGTCTCTGATGAAAACGTGCCACGTGTGGAATTTGGCATGGTCCCCTGGCTGGTGGGGGGCGCCAACCGCAGCAGCTGACTGCCGCCATTGCTCACGCTCTGTTTCGCCTGCAGTTATGACTACCTATTCAAGGTTGTGCTCATAGGTGCGCTCCAGCCCCTTTCTGATACAATGGATGGTGGTTGCCTGCTACACATGTGCCGCAAGTGCCTGCTATTCCTGTAGTCAAGCATCGCCCGATGCGCCCTTGCGTTGTTGTACTGCTGCAGGTGACTCTGGTGTGGGGAAGTCCAACCTGCTCAGCCGCTTCACGCGCAACGAGTTCTGCCTTGAGAGCAAGTCTACTATTGGTGTCGAGTTTGCGACACGCAGCATACAGGTGGGCAGTGTTGCGCACAGCGCAGTTTGGCAGTCGTGCGAATGCGGACGTACCAGCACTTGCGCCCATCGCGGTGAATCAGGGGTGAGGCGAGCACGAGCAAATGCAATGCCCGTCCGCCACGCCGTGTGCTGCCAGGTGGACGGCAAGACCATCAAGGCGCAGATTTGGGACACCGCGGGCCAGGAGCGCTACCGCGCCATCACCAGCGCCTATTACCGCGGGGCGGTCGGCGCGCTGCTGGTGTATGATATCACCAAGTCGGGTGAGCGGGGCACTTGCGGGTGAGGCGGTGCAAGGGAAGGTGCTGGCTCCTGGCAGGTGCTCAAGGAGTACAGCAGCTGCTGTGCAGCTCCCCGATGACGCATGTACCCCTGGTTGACATCCGGCGGGCGGAGCATAGCGGCCATATGGCTAATCAGGATATGCAGCGGTTGCAGCTTTTGTGGCAGGTGCCATGAGGTCATTTTGTGTGCAGGATGCGTTCTCTGCACTCAGCTGGCAGCTAGGGGCATGGAGGTAGTTGCAGCGATGGCAGAGGCAACTTGTTGTAGGGTCCTTGTGCGCTGCAGGCCGGGCTTCAGGCAGCTGCAGTGTGGCCGATCACGATCTGCTTAGCAGGTTGCAATGTGGCTGTGGGGGGATGCAGATCGTGTTGACGCTGGGCCACCTGCCACCCAGACCTACCCTCATTTGCCTTCCTGTTGATAGGAGACACAAACACCCACATGCAAACACACACACACACATACACACACACACCATAGTGTCATTTGAGAATGTGGAGCGGTGGCTGAAGGAGCTGCGGGACCACGCTGACAGCAACATCGTGATCATGCTGGTCGGCAACAAGAGCGATCTGCGGCACCTACGCAGCGTGCAGACAGACGACGCGCAGGGTTACTGCGAGAAGGAGGTGGGTGGGCTTGGGTTGTCAACTGCGTGTGCCAGAGGGTGACATGCGCGTGTGAGAGAAGGAATGGCTGGCGGAAAGAGGGAAAGAGGGAGGGAGAAATGTTCGTTTGCGCGCGCGTCCTTGTGTGCATGCGCACCTGTGGACTAGATTGTGCTCTCTCGTGTTGGCACGCCCGGTGTGGTCCTGCCCCAGCAGCCTGTCCCCCTGCACATTGCCATCCACCAGTATGTGTTGCCACACTCTCAACCGCCTTTCCTACCCCCCATGTATGCATGTGATCGCCCAACCTTATGTCCCCCCGCCCACACAAAACGTCATTGTACCACAGGGCCTGTCGTTCATCGAGACGTCCGCCCTGGAGTCCACCAACGTGGAGAAGGCGTTCCAGCAGATCCTTACGGAGATATACCACATCGTCAGCAAAAAGGTCATCGACGCCGACGACAAGGGCGCCAAGGTAGGTGGGGACTGAGGTGATGGTGGCCTGGGGCCGAGCCATTGGTGGGTCGGCGCGCTGAAGCGTGCGCATCGATGGGCGAGCGTCTTTGCAGCGAGCATACCTTGTGACTTTGCGCATCCTTACCAGCACCCTGGCACGCACGCAAGCAACCGCCTCCCCTCAAACATTCTTGCTCCTGGCTTTGAAGCTGAGTTGACACAAGCTGCCCAACCCGCACCTCTCTCACCGCAACCTCGAGCAGCTGCCCAACCAGGGCACCAGCATTGTGGTGGACAAGCCTGCAGATGACTCGCGAAAGAAGAGCTCTTGCTGCAGCAGCTGAGCGCGCCGCGGCGCCGCTGTGCGCAGCGCCACAGCTGCTGGGCAGGGCGGCGTGGCAAGGAGCGCACGCTTTCAAGCGCACCTTGCTGCACAAGGGTCCCCTGTCTGCACGCGCGGTCATCAGAGCCTGCGGCGCTGTTGCGCCTGTAAACCACACATCAACGTCCTGCAGGGCCTGCCTGGATGGCGACCGCACATCCTCCCGCTTCATGCGCATCTGGGTGTTCGATTTCGGCGGCTCGTCGCACACCTGCGGGGCGAGTCAGCACACGTGGGCCACTGCCCGGCGGTGGTGCCGTCCGGTAGCAGATTGCAGGCTCTGATTGGTTTTTTTTCTGAGTAATCTTGAGTTTGTCTTGTCCTTGCCCGCACCAACAGTGTTCCGGGGCAGGCCTATTGGGTCAAACGCGTCAAAGCCATACGCCAGTCTGCAAGGTCTATGGTCGCGCTTGCTCCGTCTGTAAAAGGGTGCAGCTTATTGCTGTAAGTAAAAATGATATGAAACCTCTCAGATGAATTTGTATGCTGAAAGGCTGAGAGGGCTGTCCGGCTTTGTCACTTTTCAGGTGCTGTACAGTTGTTGAGCCGCGAGTGCCCACCCTGGTTTGTGATCTCAGTGAGCTGTCGTTAGCCAAAGTACAAGTGTGCCGTGTCTCATAGATACCCACACAGAGTGCTTTCACCCACAAGTACAGCCTCGGTACTGTAGGACGTGCGTGCGTGTCCAGTTGATGGGAATGATGAGACTGCACTAGACGAGGACAGCGCACGGGATCTCATTAATTTACAGCGCTCTGTAGTGCCATGGCGCAGGCTGGCGGGCACGGAACCGCACCAGCAGCGGCCAGCGGCGATGCGCTCTGGTCCGCCATCCTGATTACAATAGTTGCTGCGGCGGGTGAGGACGGGTGTGCGCCATGCCGCCCGCGATCAAAGTTTGGTCAAGGATTGAACACGCTCCAGTGGCAGCATAATGGCCGCCGCACGCCTAGCAACCTGGCCTGCTTTGTTGCAACCCGCAGGCAACAACGTAGGCAAGGCGCTGCAGAAGCAGGCGACGCGCCACCTGCCGCGCCTCGCGCTGCAGAGGCAAGTCGTCCTGCAGTACGTGACGAGTGGCACGTGGCTGCTGGGCATGGGGGCCGACCTGGGCGGCGCGATTCTTATGATCGCTGCATTTGCGCGTGCGCCTGTCTCAGTGGTACAGCCCGTTTCCTCGGTGGGCCTTGTGTTCCTGATGGCCTTCTCACACTTCTACCTCAAGGTGGGTGGGTTGCAGCAACGCTGTGCCAGCTGGATATCTGGCATAGAGTGCTGAAAGGCAACATGTTTCAAGTTGAGCGATTGGGTTGCGTGGCCGCGCGTACCAGTGGGCAGTATGACGCACAAGCTTTGCCAGCTGGCGGTCTGCTCAGCAGCCAGCCCGCGCCAATCGCAGGAGCGATTGCAACCTCGCGAGTGGGCCGCAGCCGCGACGGCAGGTGTGGGGGTGCTGCTGTTAGGGGCCAGCAGCGAGCCGGAGGCAGCAGCAACCCCAACTACACCAGTGGCTGCGCACTCAGCAGCGGCGCAGCAGCAGCACCAGCGGCAGCAGCAGCAGCAGCCACTTGGTGGGGCGCCACCAGCGGGCTCCAATCCCGCACACCTGGCCTCAGCGTCGGATACAGCCGGAGGCGGCGCCAGCAGTGGCTTGAGGGACGATGTTGCCCACGCAGCCCTCCATGCTGCACCGGCGCCCTGGCGTGTGATGCTGGGGTTCCTGCTGCTGCTGGCGGTCTTGGGCTTGGAGGTGTGGTGGCGGCAACGCCGGCAGCAGCGGAAGCGGCGCGGAACCGGACACGGGCATTCGCACGCGCACGTACGCGGCTCGGAGGAGGCCGCCGACGCGGCCGCGTGCGGCCTGGAGGCGGGCGCCTGCTTCGGGTTCTCTGCGGCGGCCTGCAGGACGGGCTTCCAGCTGGCACCCACAATGGGATGGCTGCTGGTGCCAGCGGGGCTGGCAGCCAGCGTTGGCCTCACCAGCAGTGGCTTCATACTGCAGGTGCGGGGGGGCCGCATGAGGCACGGCTGGCCCCTGCCTGATCCTGGCGCGCGGCGCATGCTGAGGCGTGCCCCTGCCGGGTCCCGCCTCGGGGTCTGCACTTGCTGACGATGCCGGCCGCGCGCTGCCCTGCACGCAGACGTGCGGCTTGAAGCACGGCAAGGCGGTGGTGGTGTGCACCCTGGCGGCGGCGTCCTCCATGGTGTCGGGCGTGCTGGTCGGCCTGCTGGCGCTGGGAGAGCAGCTGCCACGCAGCAGTGGGGGCCGGCTGCTGCGACTCGCCAGCTGGGTGCTCATCCTGCTGGGGGTGACGCGGCTATCCAGCGGCGGCGAAGAGGGCGGTGGCGGAGGAGGTTGGGGCGGCGACAGGTTCTTGCGCTGGGCGGAAGATAAGCTACGCGCCGCTCCTCTGTCGCACGGCCTGCGGCTGTGGTTGCTGGTTGGCATGCGGGCATTGGCAGGTGGCGGCGAGGGGGGAAGGGGCTTGAGCCGTGGCGGCAAGGGGGGCAGTTTGCTGTCAAATAGCCATGACGACGGCGGCGGGCCGGCGCTGCCTGTGGTTATCTCACACAGCAGCGGAAGTGGCGAGGGGCTTGCAGAAGGGCTGCGGCAACACAGCACGCCACTGCGGCAAGGGAGCGGCCAACAACTGTAATACAGTACATGCATTGGTCCCTGTGAAACCAGATCCAGTCATTGTGATGGCATGCGTGTTGGCGTGATGTACGGCCGGCTAGAAAGGCAGTGAGCGAGGGTCTTGCTGGGTCAACCGAAAGCAATCGGGTGACAGCCTGAGCCAGGTTCGTGCCACCACCGTCTGCAGAAGGCCTCAGCTCTGCAGGCATGCCCAAACGACATGCATACACATTTATGTACAGTTGCCTGGTTCTCAGCAAGGGAGGCTCTTATGGCCTTGCCCCCTCCCTGCGCAAAAGCATGCCTCCGGATTGCGCCCAACTCTTGGAACTGGGCACCGTGCTCGCTCTCCGGCTGGGTGTAGAGCACAACATCATAGCGCATCGTGATATCTGGCCATGCACGCCGATCTACGACAGTGGCATCGGTATTACCAACAAATATATTTGCAAACCGCCTTCAAACCCAGCCCCGCGCACAGATCACAAACTTTACGTTGCCAACGACTATGGATACACAGGAGCAGCAGGAGATACATAACGAAGCAATGCTCAAGGCTGGGTGTGGAAAGGCGGAGCCGCTTACCGGTGATGGCAGCGGCGTGCATTGCGCACACAGCTCGGATGCCGAAATTGGCAGCGCCTCGTCGCAGGCGAGTGTGCAAGCGTGGGGCTGGCACCGCAGTCTGAATAATATGTGATCCTTCATGCAGAGATAAGTATACAAAGCACGCAATTACCGGGGAGCGCTACGACATACTGGGCACCGCACACAATACCGTATGATACCGGTAAACACAGCAAGAGTGGCAAGCAGACGCAAATTGAGGGGGGTAGCCCAGCCCATACCAGCTGCGCCGGAGTCCTCAGAGCAATCAAATGCAAGGCCGATAAGCTGTGCTGCTTCTCAAGAAGCAGCTAGGGGTCCACCTTTGGGAACCAACACAAAGAATGCAGAGTCGTGTTGAATCGGCTGCATCCTCATGTTCACACATGAGATGATAAGCATGATGCAAGCCACCCTGGGTTTACAGTGATGCGTCGCTGAGCGTGCGAGCGTAAATCAGCAGCGGCCTCGTATCATGGTCTGCAGGCACCGGCTTCCAGGCAGTGCCAGAGTGACTCGTCCAGCCGAGCACATTGGGTGCCTCTGCACGCAAGGTGCCCTTGAGCAACCTTTCAGATATCGACCGCGATTGCGATTTACATAGGGGACCGCGTAGCGCCCTGCTTGGTCTGCGAGCGGATTGTTCGCGCGCCTGCGTGGAGGGGTCTGATCATCATAGTGGCCGCGTGGCGGTGGCCTCAAAGGCATAATAAACGGATGCTAGCCTTGTGTCTTCTTGCTTTGTCGTTGGGAGTGGCTCTGGTGAGCACTTGACCACCCCGCTCACGCTGACCGACGGCCTATCAAGGGGTTATGCGCTGCATGTCAGGGTGGTTGTCATGTTTTCGCCACGAGCATGGACAGAGATGCTCTGATTCACAACGCAATGAACTTGGTCATGCAGGTGCCCGCAGGGGCAATCCCACCGCCACCCAAAAGCTGCTCACTGGACCTGCGGAGGAGCATACAGTGGGGTGCAGCCACTGCCGCGTTCCAGGTCCGACACGCCTACGCAAGGGGGCCGCAGGGGCAACTGCAAGATGCGGCAGCAGCCCCAGCAGGACCAGCAGCAGGGATGGGGGCACGGCTTCATTGCGTAGTGGTTGAGACGACAGAAGGCAGGCGAATTGGTAGGCCCAGCCGCCACAGGGCCTTGCGTGCGGCAGCTGCGCATCACAGCACCCATAGGATTGTGAGCTTGCAACAACACAGCAGAGCTCAAACAGCAGAGCCTCAGTCTGTTTGTGCACACACTTGCACCTGCGTGCTCCCTCACCCCTTAGCAAACCTTCCTCTTGGCAGATCGAGGGTGGCTGGGATGCGGGCGGCCGCACCCCCTCGATCTGGGACACATTCAGTCACCAGCCTGGGGTGATCGTGGACAATGCCACAGCAGACGTGGCGTGCGACCACTACCACAAGTACAAGGGTGCGGGGCACGGCACGAGTGCAAGGGGTCCTGCGATCGCCCTGCGGGCTTTGCTCGTAGCGCATTGGCGACCTGCGCTCTGCATTCATGTTGGCTGCGGGGATCCTGCACAAAGCGGCGCACCGCTCTACCTGCATGAGCCTGTCATCTTCTCTTCCCTCGTGATCCCACACACACGCATGCGTATCCCATCATTGTGACCTGTGTCCAGAGGACTTCAAGCTTATGGCTGACATGGGCATCAAGCACTACAGGTTCAGCATCAGCTGGAACCGCATCCTGCCATCAGGGATATCAGGATCGGCAGTCAACCCGGAAGGCCTTGCGTTTTACGACAGGTGGGGGCGCAGGCGAGGCAGGGCGCGGCAGCGCGTTGCAAGGTGCGTTGAGGCAGCCGGGGCAGCAGAGCCCTGCTGAAGAGCCGCAACGAGCCACGCGCAGCAGGGTTCAGGATTGTCGCAGCCCACAAGCCTTAGCAGATGTACCTGCCTCTGCGCAATGCCATGCATGTGACCTTGTTCTGACACGGTTTGTGGACACCACGCTTGAGGCCCTACCCATCTCCTCTACACTTCCCCTCACCCTTCTTTTTGCGCTGCCAGCTTGCTTGACGCCATGGCCGACAACGGCATCGTGCCGTACGCGACCATGTTCCACTGGGACCTGCCACAGGTTCTGCAGGACCAGTACGGGGGCCTCATGAGCGCCGAATTTATCAGTGAGCCGGGTATTTGTCGCAACCACCCCACTGGGATTGACCCTTTTGTGAAGATGGCACACAAGGCTGCAGGCGCCGCAGCAGCAGCGGTAGCTGCGGCCGCCGCCGCAGCTGCCGCCACCGCCGCCGCTGCTGTGGCTGCTGCGGCTGCCACACCTGCTAATGTTCTGATTCATGCATTGGTGCTTGCCTCTCCTACACCTTCTCCCAAGCATCTTGTAATTGCCCCCATCCGCATGCACACATGACGTTGTTGCACGCGTACGCGCGTGCACACACACACACACACACACACACACACACACACACACACACACACCACCTGGTGCCCTAACCCTCAATCATCGACAGAGGATTTTGTGGGCTACGCGTCTGTGCTGTTCAGGCACTTTGGCTGGCGGGTGAAGAACTGGATGACCTTCAATGAGCCGTGGTGCTCCTGCGCCCTTGGTTATGGCAAAGGGGACTTCGCGCCAGGTGGGCCCTTAGCTCCTGCGTGGCTTCACGGCGCTCCATGACATGCACCCGTGCCAGGTCTCCGGCCCACCCTAATGGCGTCTCAGTTGCTTTGAGTAGCTGCTTTTCGACACAATCAAAACCTCAATCCCTCTCGTCCATGTCCCAGCCCAGCGCCTTCGACCCCCTGAAGCATTGCCGGCTATTTACTGGACCCGGCCCTCCCGCCGGCTCCCCGCCCCCCCCCCCTTCCCCAAACCAACCCTGCTTGCAGGCATCCCCTATGGTGACGAGGGGCAGTACAAGGCGGGCCACAACCTGCTGCTGGCGCACGCCAAGGTGGTGGAGCTCTACAACTCACAGTTCCGCGCAACCCAGCGCGGCCGCATAGGCATCGTGCTCAACGCGACCTGGCACGTGAGCCAAAGGCCAATGAGCTCATGTGCTTTCTCATGCATGCGTTTCCAAGCAAGATAGAGCTGCATGCAGCACAGCAGATCCACCGTGTGTCTGGCTTCAGCAAGGTGCGCATGTCAGGCATACGCCTGCATGCCGTTTGGACCACACACAGTCTCGTCTGGTCATCGTGCAGCTTTTCTGAGTGCACTCGCACGTGCGCGCGAGCATCCCCCCCCCAAAGGAGCCTCTGACCGACAGCCTCGAGGACAAGGCTGCGGCCAGTGTGGCCCTTCACCAGGACCTCGGCTGGTTTGCTCACCCCGTCTACTTTGGAGAGTGCGTGGCCCGCTTGACAGCACTCGCAGTCAATCTGTATCAATAGCTGCTGTCAATCTGAATCAACATTTTTGGCTGCTGACTATGCAAGTGACCATCCGCACGTTTTCCTACATCAAAAACTCACCTTGAGGCTGTTGCAGACCTTATTCTGTGCTCAAGCTTGTTCCTTTCCCCAGTGACACGTGCATATACATGCACACGCACACGCACATGCACAGGCACACAAGCGTGTGCGCGCGCGCACACACACACACACTCTCTCTCTCTCTCTCTCACTCACTCACTCACGCTCCTTTTCTTTTGACGCAGCTACCCTGACGTGGTGAAGAAGACCAAGCCCGTTCCATCTTTCACTCCTGAGCAGCGCGCCCTCTTCCTGGCTAACCAGCCTGACTTTTTTGCCCTCAACTTCTACACCGCAGAGTAAGCATTGCGTGGCTTGGTTGCGCTTTGGCGCGTCGTTGCCTGCCGCAGCCACACATATGCATTGATGGCATGGTGGCTTGCCACAAGTGGCATCCGAGGGGAGACCCCAACCTGATGGTTTGTATAGCTTGCATCCTGCAAATGGCCTCTTGACGGTTCCTACACCCCTGCCAACTGCAGCTACGTGCGGTCTGACGGCACAGAGCACGGCTACCACCAGGGCCCCGAGGACAAGCACGGCAAACCCATCGGCCCAAAGGGCCAGTCCAGCTGGCTCTACTCAACGCCCTGGGCCATCCGCAAGATGCTCGTGTACGTCCAGGACACATACAAGCCTGCAGACGTCTGGGTCACAGAGAACGGCGCCAGCGCGCCGGGTGAGGCCGGGAAGACGGTGGCCGAGGCGGTGAAGGACAGCTTCAGGGTGGGGTACTACCAGGGGTACATGGACAACGTCTGCAAGGCGGTGGCGGACGGTGAGGGCGGCTGCTGCTGCGTCGGCCGTTTGTGGTTCACTGTTTGTGGTTCATGTGGACTTCGGCACTGCAGGGACGATGACCGGGCGAGGTTTGGTTGTGAGGGTGCAGTCGTGCGCATTGGGCCGACGCTGGAGGTGAGCAGTTTCAGGCATGCAATGTGCTTTTTCTGACAAGCTCAATTGATGCACTGCCCTGTGCACGTTGCATCATTTAACAACCCCAGGTGTGAAGCTTTCCACGTACTTTGCTTGGAGCGCCATGGACAACTTTGAGGTGCGAGCAGACCTGATCCATTGCCAACACACCTTTGCTGTTGCGGCAGGCAGGCTGATTTCAATTAACACTGCTGGTCCACTTGCAGGCTCTCCCACCCGGCATGCCACTAGGAGGGGGTCCCCTCTGCTGCGCCCAGCCCTGGGAATGTGCTCGCATTTACCCGGCTGACTTTCGCCCCCCCCCCCTACC